CCCAGACCTATTGAATGAGCCCCTGGAGGTGGGACCCCAGCACCTGCGTTTCAATACCCTCCCCAGGAGGTTCAGGTGTACAGGAGCTCGGGTTCCAGCCCTCATCGTCTACGTCTGTCCTGCGGCCATCCTTGGTCAGCACGAGTCAGCGAGGGGATCTGTGCAGTCGCTTAGTTCGATACACACCGGTGGGGTGTTAACCTCGCACCAAGCACTGTGGTAAGTGTGGGGGCTGCAGAGAGGGTAAGACACAGCCCTCGCCCCCGAAGAGCCCAGCTCCCGCCCAGAGGGGAAGGCAGGCAGGCCAGGAGGAGGTGTCTCTCCCAGGGGCCCATGAGGCGCTGTGGGGATCAGAGGAGAAAGCTGGCCGAGTGCTGGCCAGTCCCCCAGCACCTGAAGGCTGAGAAGGAGGGAGTCAGGAAAATCCTGGAGGTTCTGGGACAGAATTCCAGGCAGAGTGTGGGAGAGACAGGCTGGAGGGGCGGACTCGGACTCTGGCCTTCCGTGCCGAGGGCAGTAGGGACGTGCACACGTGCGCAATCGGCAGCTCTCAGCAAACCCTGTGCCGTGGGTGCGTCTGCCCACGCAGCGGGAATAGGGTGCGGGCGCCTTGGGAAGCTTTGGGATGTCATCCACTTTAGAACCTAGGTGACTATTGCCTATCTGAGGACAGTTTGCAATAAAATAGTCTTTACAGCTATTGAGAGTTTGCCCTGATCCAGCCAAGCCCCAGCCTGATTTAAAACCCTTCCCTCTGGAACTACGATTCCAGGGCAGTTTATCAGAGGAAAGATGGACAATCAAGCTGCCTTTGCTGCTGGCACTCAGAGAAACGTGTTCTCTCTCTGCCATTCAGCAAAAGTTCTCCTGTCATGGCTGATTGGAGGTTCCCGACCTTGAATTATTAGTTAATGGCATCTCTGCAAAGGAGTGATTTATCCGACAAGGAAACTCTGCAAACAGACGCAGGTACTGCGGATCCCGAATGGCTGGCTGTTTCATCGGAAGCTGAAATGTGTATTATTTCCACCATCTGTCTTCTCAGTAGAAACAAAATCCAAAGCAGAGGTTGATATTCAGTCTTGATCTCAGATCTCTGTGCAGTCGAGATGTTAAGAAGACAGAAGCCCAAGGCACAGAAGGGTCCCCAAATGCTCTGGTTCCGCAACTCTCCAAGTTTTCCTACTTACACTCGGAGGGCTCGCTTGCAGCAGACACCGCCACCTGGAGCAGCCTTCCGTGGAGGTCACCTGCGGGACAGAAGCATGCCCTAGCTTCGGTGGCCCTAGATTGGTCACCTTTCACTAGGGCCTCTCCTGAAATGCCAGCCAGGGCTACCACCTCTCACTGCTGGAGGTACGAGCCTCTGCCACCTCCTCAATTCATTTGCTTGAGAGCCAATGGCGTTGGCTCCAAGGGAAAGGAATGTGCTTGTTTTGTCACTTGTCATGCAGGGGACACATTCTCCCCTTCTTCCCTGGGAGGGGGCCTCGTTCAGCCTCAAGCCCTCTGTAGGTCAGGGAAGCTGGAATGTTGTGTCTCCCTCCACCTGCGCCCCAGCCTTGCAGCCCACGGGAGGTGCCAGGCTCCCTCCTGCCACGTGGGCCTCTCTGCTGGGACACTGGTCCCCTCCAGTTCACTGTTCATACTCCCACTCTGCTTGAGCATCGCTTTCGAGGTTTCCTCAACCCCCAGACTAGGTCAAACCCTCGTGGACACTCTGTCCTAACACACAAACCTCTTCTGTAGCACTGAATAATGACGCACCTTTGTGGGTGTAATTATTTGATTAATTTCCACCTCTCCTCTCAAAAGCACATTGTTCTCACTCCCTTTGACGTCCCGGGCACCGTGTTGGAGTTGTACTGGGCTACTGAGAGCCAGCAGAGATCAGAGCCACCTGAGAGAGGGAGGAAAGCGAGGGAGGCAGCAGGTGGAGAGCAGCATGTCAGGGTCACTACCAAGGGGAGGGGGCTGGCCAGCCGCCGCTGCTCCTCCACCACCTGCAGTGTGGACCCTGGGCAGCCACTGTCCTCAGCTGTCTGCCAACAACTGAGGGGCCACCCAGGCAAGCAGAGCACCACCAGCCCTGGGGGAGACACAGCAAAGTCTGCCATGAGCGGGGGTGGTGAGTAGGGAGAGGCCAGGAGGACCAGAGCCCCCTGTGGCCTGGGGAGGGGGACAAGGCTTCCTGGGCAAGGGCCATTGACATCTGGGTAGGGGTGGGCGGCAGGACTCCAGGATGAGGAAACACACGCGCCAAGGCTGGAGCAAGGCCCGCAGAGGTGTCCGGGTAACAACCTGTAACTGAGTGTCACTAGAGCCTCAGGCAGAGCAGTGAGGCCGGCTCGGGATTTGGAGGCCATTAAATGGAAATTCACCGGCGCTGGGGAACCACTGAGGGTTTTTGATCCAGGGAGTGTGTGATTGGGGATCTCCTGGGGACGCTTGTGCCCAGCAGATCAGAGATACTAGCAGCAGAGAGACTCGTCATGGGCAGAGAGGAGTGTGGCAGTGGGGACGAAAAGGAGCTCGGAGAGGTGGTGCATGTTCAGCGTGACGCAGCAGCTAGAAGGCAGAGCGAGAGAGAGAGAGAGAGAGAGAGAGAGAGAGAGAGAGAGGGGACGTGGGCAGAGGTGACGGTGGTCAAGGACCAGGATGGCCAACGACAGGACGACACGCCGCACACGAAACACACAGCCAGGCCAGCGCGCTGTGATCCGGGGCCAAGAGCAGGAGGCCACAGAAGTTTCTCTTCACCTCCTCTCTCCCCCATTCCGAAATCCATGTCCTCTTTAAGCCATAAAGGAGAAGCCTGATATGTCTGACTACACGGTATTTTTTTTAATTTCCACGTGGAAAAAGATATCAAAAAAGCAACCAACAAACTGTAAAAAATGGTAACACGTATAACTGACTAAGTTAACATCCTTACACATAAAGAGCTCATAAATAAATAAAAAAGACCACCAATCCATCAGAAAACATGGGCAAAAAACAAAAACAGGAATTTCACAAGAAAATAAATGGCTCATAAACATATCTTCATATGCTTCAACTCCGTTTGTAATGAAAGGCATGAAAATTAAGACTACAGTTACAAATATGTTTTAAATTATTTTACTTGGGCTGGTGAAGCCTGAAGAGTTGGTAACACACACTGGGCTGGAGCACTGACGGCGCGTCGATAGGTATTAACATCTGAACGGACGTCCCCCGTCCTCTAGGAACTTCCCGCCAGGACTGTGCCCGCACAGGACGGTTGCACATGCGCGCGAAAGGTAAACAGGATCTTGGCAGGATTGTTTGCTCTGACAAAAGGCTAGAAATCGCCTGAATGTTCTCAGCAGAGAAATGCATACGTTATAACACAGTCACACAGAGGAATGACCTGAGACTTCTAAAAAATTGAGGTAACTGTTAATATATACCTGTTGATTGGGTACAATCTCTGAGGCGGACTGTTAGGTGAATAAATTAAGAAACGGTAGAGTTTGCACGTTGGGATTGAGATTGAAAAGCGCTACGTGTCCTTTTCAGAAGACACTACGAACCGTAACCCCCTTCGGCAGGAGGACCAAGGAACCGGGGTCTGGGATGACGGACTTGGAACGGCTCAAGCTCTGCCACGTGCTCCATCTGGCCTCCTCTCAGTCACCGGCAGCCCCACTGCTCTGAGTCTTCGCCAGGCGGCTAAAGCCGCAAAGGAGAAGCCTGATAACTCTGGCCGCGTGGCACCGCACAGAAGCCCCCTCTGTCCTCTGCGGCTCTCGGTTGCTAACGGCGGGCTGGCTGCCGAGACGGTGGAACAGAGAGAGGCCTCGGCCGCGCCTGCAAACCCGCTGAAAGTGGCATTTCATTCGAGCCCGGACGCTGGGGAAGTCCTGGCAGAAACTCCCATCTGGAAGCTTCCCAGGAGCGATCTTTGCAGCTGGCAGTCGCCCTGGAGCCCACGCTTTCTCCGCTCCCCCGGCCACTTCTGGAAAGCGCCTTTCTACATGCAATCTCTAGGCCACAGGCCATGGTATTTTTAGCCACTCTCAGAGGCTGTGACTTCAAGGGCAGGGCCAGAGAACATTCCTGAACTCTGGGTCTCTGCTCTGGGCTTTTGGCCTGTTCCCATGGCTAATTTGGAAGCTCCGTGGCCACCCTGTGTCCCTTTTCCTCGTGACCCTTCCCCCAGAGTGCAAAGCTCTTCTTGAGCAGTCCGAGGACGGAACTTGGCCCTGCCGCACCTAATAATATCTACAGCACGCTGTCTTCCCACAGTTAACAGCAGCTTGGGGACTCCATGGCCTCCGCTTGGAACAGTGGGCTTGAAGAGCACAACTGCTAGGCTAGATGCAGAGGGACACTCTCTGGCCCAGGGCCCTGCAGCGTCCGCACTCCTGGCCTTCCCACCTCCACTGTTGTGACAATCCTACTCTTGCTCCATCCTGCCATTTATGCTGATTCACTTTCTTAACTTATGTATTGACTTTAGTTGCATCTTTAAAAATACTATATATGATACCATGCATTTGACACACTTGTTTTTTCAATGCATTAAATGAAATTCTATTAAAATTTGTAGAAAGGGGAAAAGAGAAAAAGAAGCTCCTCTGTGCACCTTTAGTAGCAGGGAAGAAGCCAGTGGTGACCGAGTCTCATTTGAGAAATGTGACACACTGCAGTCCCCACAGTTTGCAGAGGAAAAGTTGTTTAAGGCCAGTCCTTTGCCTATGTTGTTTCTTCTACCATGTTCTCTCTCTCTCTCTCTCACACACACACACACACACACACACACACACACACGCACCCCTTATCCACCTAGATAGTTGCCACCTTGTCCAGGATGTGTCTCAAGGCCCTCACCCCGAGGGCAGGCTCGTGGATTTCCACTGCATTCTCTGCTCAGCAGAAGACGGCCCTACACTTGCAATCCCTGCCCGTCCTCCTCTGCCAGCTCCTGGAGAACACGTGTTTTTGTTAAGGGATGACGAGGAACCCACACTCCGGACTCACAGGCCACCTTGTTCACTTCCCGGCTGCGTAACCTTGAGCAAGTTACTCACTTGTCCCCAAACCTTACTTTCCTCATCTACAAAACAGGGATGATAATCACATGTGATAATTAAATAATGTAGGCAAAATGTTAATGTAGACATGGCACTCAGTGAGTGCCCTCTCAATGTTTTCTGAATGCATGCATGTGTGAATGGGCACAGCCTGTGTACGAGAATGAGATTAAGCAGTAATCCAGGGCTTATTTAAGATTCACCAAAAATCTTACTAAAAATACAGGTTCTCAGACCCCAGTCAGACTTCCTAAGTCAGGCCCCAAATCTGTTTTTGACTTCTTTTTTTTTTTTCAGGGGCAGGGGTTGAGACAGGGTCTTGCTCTGTTGCCTAGGCCAGAATGCAATGGTGTCATCATAGCTCACAGCAACCTCAAACTCCTGGGCTCAAGCGATCCTCCTGCCTCAGCCTCCTGAGTAGCTGGGAATACAGGCGCTACCATGCCTGGTTAATTTTTCTATTTTTTGTAGAGATGAGGTCTTGCTCTGTTGCCCAGTGTGGTCTTGAACTCCTGGCCTCAAGCAATCCTCCCACCTTGGCCTCCCACAGTGTTAAGATTACAGACATGAGCCACCATGCCTAGCCCCAAATATCCGTATTTGTAACAAGCCCTCCACGTGATTGTGTGGGAACCACTCAGCCAAAGCCTCATTTCTTTGGAGATTGTGCTCGGCAGCTGAATGACCATGGACAACCTGCGGGTGGTTCCACAGACATGAACCCTCTAGCTCTGGCCATGTTATCCCACCACCCTCACACCCTGTGTGCCACTGCTTGAGGTTATAGTGGGGCTCCCTCTGAAACCGGGGCAGTGGGGGTGGCAGATAGCATATAGAGGACATTACTAGACGTAAATAATGGGGTCTAAATAATGATTAATCTGTTCAGGACCCAAAAGTGCTGAGTTTGTTGAAATTATTGTTGATGGTGGTGATGATGATGGTGATTAGCACGGTGGTGGGGATGATGGCAATAGCAGTGATTTCTCCGAAAACCTGTAAGAGAGGGATATTGTTTTCCCCATTTTACAGCCAAAGCGATAGGGGCTCAAAGTGTTGAATAAATTTAAGTTCACCCAGGGTGAATAATGGACCCAGTTTCAAGCCCTGGCTTCCTCCCAAACCAAAGCCAATGCTCTAAACACCTACGTCCTGTGTCTTTCGTGCACTGTTTTGATCCTCTATGGGACACCAGGGTTGTAAACATGGTTCCTATGTTAGGGTCGCACTCAAGCTCTCCACAATCCCACCATCCACATCCAAGTCTTGGGTTTACTTTCTGAGGAACACGCACAACGGTAGGAATCCACCGATGGTGGCAGGAAGCCCACACGCGTTCAATCCCCACATGTGCCTCTCCATCTCCCAGCCGCCCCCGCACAGAAGTTGGGCTGTGGGACTAGTTCTGGCCAATAGAATGTAGGAGCCACTTTGCTCTGTCCTGTTCTCCCTGCCACAGCGCACTTGCAGCCCAGAGCGTGCACGTCTGGACTTTACCTGCATGAGAAATAAACTTCTATTGTCTTTGTGGAGCCTTTGTGGATTTACCTGTTAAAATTGCTAATTTCTCTAACACGGAGGTTAATCGAAGGGTTAATCTCTCACTCCAACCCCCCCCCATTGCAAAGCTTGGGCTTTATGTCACCATTTTTAAAATTATGGTTGTTGAATTATAATGCTGTTAGATTATCACTTTTCTTATTATTGTTAGCCTGTTTGGCTTTAGGCGAATAGCTCAGTGTTGTTCCATGTTAAAAAACTGACTCGCAGAAAGAAGCCGGTCCTCGTGCGGTGTCGCCAGGGCTGTTAACGCTAATAGAAGCAGACGGCTGCCTGTTGGGTCTTGATTTACAAAGCACGTGACAGATTAAGTCAATATCCTTCCAAAGTGGGAGGATAAAAGCTCCAAAAAAACAAAACCAGAGAATGAGAAAACGAAGACAGTGGTCGCCACCTAGCTCCGGGACAAACACCCAGAGAGCCCGGGAGCCAGGGCGGGAGTAACGCGGGCTCTCACCTTTGCCCCCTCACCTTTGCTCCCTCACCCTTGCCCCCTCACCCTTGCCCCTCCTGCTGGCTCTCAGCCTCTCTGTGAAGAAGCTTCCTCGTCTCATCCAGCTGCTCAGCAAAATGCAACAGAATAACTCCACTGCCTTGGACATTACAAACAGAATTTCATGAATGTTACCCTCCTTTCATCTAAAGGACCTGGCGACATTTTTACGAATAATTTATTTAATTCCCAAGTATTAATTTGAGATGCCTGAATTCATAATGGAATCTTTTTAAGGAGGAGAAATCTACTACATGCAGAAAGACAGAGACTGGAACCTTCTTTATGGTCATGAAGAGCTGTCTTGACGGGGCGCGCGGGCCGGAGCCCCGTGGCCGATTCCCAGGCTGCACCGCGCGGCTTGTCACCTCCTCTGCAACGTTGGCCGCCGTCCTGTCCGCCGCGGCTGAGCCCGGGAGTCGGGGCGACGCCGACCCCTGCGGGGGCTGAAGTCATTTCCCACTTTCGGCTGCACAAAGCAGGCGAGCGGGGCCTGTGAGGAGGGTTCTCTGGGAACGCTGGTCTTGCAGCTAAAACTTTTGAAGGTGTCTTTTGATGAAAAGTCTTCTTTTCCTTTGGATAAATACCCAGTAGAGGGACTGCTGGATGGAATGGCAGTTCTACTTGTAGTTCTCTGAGGAATCTCCGTACTGTTTTCCACAGAGGTCGTACTAGTTTGCAGTCCCACCGACAGCGTGTAAATAAGTGTTCCTTTCTCTCTGCACCCATGCCGGCTTCTGTTGTTTTTGGACTTTTTAATAAAAGCCATTCTAACTGGGGTAAGGTGATACCTCATTGTGGTTTTAATTTGCATTTCCCTGACAATTAGTGATGTTGAGTGGTATGTGTACACCATGGAGTACTACTCAGCAATAAAAAATATGAATTAATGCCTTTCGCAACAATTCGGATGGAACTGGACACCATTCTCCCAAGTGAAGTATCTCAAGAATGGAGAAACAAACACCACATGTCCTCACTATTAAATTGGAACTAACCGATAAGCACACATGTGCAGAGGCAAGTAAAACTCAGTGGAAATCAACCAGGTGGGAGGGGGGAGAAGGGGAAAGGCAAAAACCCTACCTAATGGGTACTATGAGCACTGTTTGGGTGATGGGCACACCTATAGCAGGTACTCAAGCATTACAAAAGCGACTCATGTAACCTACAACAGTTGTAACCCCTTAATATCTTGAAATTTAAAAAAGTTTTGAAGGAGCCATTCCTTTAAAGGAAAGTTTTTTCACTCAGGGCTGGTTTCTAGAAACCTGAATCAAGCACAGAATGATTACACTGGTGGGGTAACTGTCCACAGGGAGCTGTGGCTTCGCAGCTAGAGGCAGGCGTCCCCTCGTGTCTCAGCTCACTCCCATGCTGCCCACATCTGACCGCCCCTAGCAGCTCCCCATCTTCCCCTCGTGGTTGCAAGGTGGCTGCGCTTACACCCCCTTAGCTTCAAATCCCACCCAAAGAGTTGAAGAGAACTCCTGTGCCTGCTCAGTTTGGGTAACGTTTGTATTTCTGAGCTAAGCATGGTGGCCAGAGGGATGGGCCGTGCCAACCAGCTACGATCTTTTAGGATCTGGCCCTGGAACCCACATGAGCAGAGGACGAGAGGTGAGAAGTGCCCAGAGGACATTCCAGGTGTTTTCCCAGAAGAAGGGTGAAGAGATGCTGGCGAAGAAACAGATAACTTAAAATATCAACTGGCCAACGTTTCTCTGTGGTAGTTGACTCTGGGTCACCCTGCTGTTCCTGGAATGCTGGGGCTCTGGGGGACTCAGGTGGAAAACTCAGGGGACTCAGGTCAAAATGAACCCCCAATTTAATAAATAGGTATTGAGGCCTGGCTGGGGCAATTCACCCAGCGGGGGGTGACAGAGCCCCTGCAACTCGATTGCAGTGACTCTCTCAAGGCACGCGCATACGTATAAACTCCTTAAATTGTTTGCATTGCACATGTGCCCTTTTGTGTATCAATTATAGCACAATAGAGCTGGGGGCCATGGGCCCATCCTCTGATGGGGCCGCCTGCAGGCTCTCATCCATGAGGTGCCCTTCGGGAGCCTCTCCTGCACCAGCCCTGCTCAGCCTCAGCCTTCTGAGTCATTTCCTTCTTAGGGCTTTTCTGTCCCCGCACTGCACCCTCTGCACCACAGGGACTGCTGTGCAAACGCCTTTTTTTATTTGGATTGTCTCTCATTAAATCAATAAACACGAGCACATCCTAAACGCCAGGGCCCGGGGATTCAGCCGTAAACAGTTCCTTCCTTCAAGGGGCCCGCAGTCTCCGTGGGGAAGACCGACATTTAAAAAATGTGGCAGATCAAAAAAACCAAGCTCAACTGATTACATACTGTACAATCCCATGTATGCCACATCACTGAAATGAAAAAATTTTAGAGTTGCAGGAGAGACTGGCGGTCCTCAGGGGGTGGGGGAGTGGCTGGGGGAGGGAAGCAGGTGTGGCTGCATCAGGGCAACCCGAGGGCTCCATGGGGTGCTGCCACCATTCAGGGACTTATTCAGAGTCCGTTTGTGGTGAACACACAAACCTACACAGGTGGTAAAATTGCGCAGAATTTACTAAACATGCACAAAGGAGTACAAGGAAACCCAAGAGCCATGAATGAGGTAGATGGGGCGTGTCAGCCTCGGTATCCTGGGGGATACCATGCAGGAGTCCGGCAAGATGCCGTCTGGAGGGAAACCTGAGTGAGGGGTGTAGAGACCTCTCTGCGTTATTATTACAAACGCATGTGACCCTATAAGGATCTCAACCAAAATTTCAATTTATAAAGGTGTCAGGTCACCCACATGATATTTAAACTTAAATTATCTAAAATTAAATAAAATTAAAACTCAAGTCTTCCGTCTTGGCAGCCTGCAGCGTTGGGTAGCACTGGTTGTTCCCATCACTGTGGATGGTGAC